TCTTAAATGAAAATAACAATTTAAAACTACCTAGCTCAAGAATATATCTATCTTAATTATTTTATTATTTTTTACTGCAGTATACGTAATTTCCTAGACATAATAAAATAATGTAAAATTGTTTTGATTAATTTTATATAGGCTTTCATTTTTGCTTTGTGTAAAATAAACTTTTGCATTTGTAATACTTCGTACCTGTTTTTCCGCTGATGATGTGATGTCGTGCGTCAGAAAATCAAAAGAAAAAGAAATTAAGTGAGGCATAAATGCTGCTTGGCAATGTTTCTAGTAAAGAAAAGTGTTATTAAAGTTTCACTCTGTTTTTCACAAAGAAAATAAATTTGCCTACGTTATTTCGAATTGGGATATAAAAATAATAATTATTTCTGGTAAGAACTTATTGTAATCATTTTATTTGATAAGGCGTTGAAGGAGTTGTTAATGGAATGCGAACTTATCAAAAAGTACAATAATTTGGCCATGGATTTGCTAATAGATCAAGAGATTTTCTCAAGAATAATACGTCATCTATAAATTGCTAAAAGTTTTTTTTTTATATATATTTTTAACAGCAATCAGAACCTTACGTCCTATGAGCTGTTGGGCTGAAACTTCTCCTTACTTCGTATTTTTAGATGGTAACCAATGGTTAATCCATCCATATTTGATGTTTTTTGTCATTAGAATTAATCTAATAGGGCTAACTTTTTATTGGTGCAGCAATGCCGGGCAAGGGCTATTTTCAGTTGGAAACATATTGCTATCTATATTTCCAAGTGAAAATCGTTGTCACTACTGCCTGACAATAGGGTGCTAGAAGTGGCTATCGAACCCGGGACCTCTGAAACAAGTCCCGTCGCTGTTAACCGCTTACCTACGGGCGAGCCCTAAAAGTTTTTTGCTCAAATATTGATAGTAAGCTTTTTATATTAGTGTGTTCTGAATTCATAAAAATCAATACGCATTTAAAAATACTGTCTCGAACTAAGAAAATGAAATTACCTGAAACACTGAAACTTCTTTTATTATTAAATATTTTAAGGTATTGTCAAAGTGTTATTCAAATGTTAATCGACATAAATGACCCAATATTTTGCTTCAAAAATATTACATATTGCTTTTCATATTGTACATGGTCTGTTCAAAAAGTACCCGGAATTTTCGTTTTTTCAAAAAAATTTTATTTATTCGTCTACATTAATGTGGTCCCCTTCAAAGTAGTCCCCCCCAGATATAATACACTTACGCCAGCGTTTTTTTCCAATTTTCGAAGCACCCTTGATATTCACTTTTTGATATGTCCTTGAGCACTCTCAGCGATTTTCTTCAATCGAGGAAAACCGCCGTCCTTTCATGGGTCTCTTCAACTTTGGGAATAGGAAAAAGTCACACGGAGCCATATCTGGTGAATTTTTGCACTTTGCAACACTTTATTTCATTTTTTACGCAAAATTTAATACAAATTCTTTGACTTTTCAATTCTTCCATTGTAAAAATCGCCGAGCTCAGAAAAACACGTCGAACCTTAGTGACTACCACAGACAAAGTAAACAGTGAATATAGCTGAAAATTTCATCATACTTTAGGGGCATGTATACCAACACAATAAAAAAAATTTTGACAATCAGACACTCCAGACCCGCGAAATTTATTATTAGTAATCCGGGTACTTTTTGAACACACCTCGTAGTTTAATAAAATAATCGTAGATCTTCATTTAATTATCCTCTAATATATCTGTGATGATAGTATCTAAATTCGCTTCATTTATATTAATAATTCAAATTTCATGCTATAAAACTAGAATTTCGTTGATTTAAAAAAATCTATTCATAAAGTTTTATATAAAATTACAAAGTTACATTACAGAATCTGCAAAAATCTGTTTCTTTATACCCTCATCAGCTAGTATTACCAATATCTAGTTTTATAATAAAATAATAAGATTGCATTGATATACGAAACTTTGAGTTTAAAAGACATATGAGACTTTTGCCCAGAATAGAAACGACTTCTCTAGAAAAATAATGCATCAAAGCTTTGTATGAAAATACTCGAAACGCAATCCGATATTGGAATAAAACAAAGAGACGAGATGGAAAATGGAGAAAACCTTCGGAAAAGGAATCTCAGATAAAATGCAATAGTATAATATATTGAAAATATATTTATCGGACGACTGAAACATTATACTCGTGTCGTTCCATTTCGTATGACGTTTATGGACTCCCGTTGACCCGATTTCTCGGAAATGAAAAATATTATGCAAATGTTATTATGTGAAAAATATAAGGATTTGCGTTTGAAATACATGGAAATGATATGTTGTTTTTGTAGACAAGGATTTGATATTTTATAGCTTCACAAAAATAAAACATTCAGTAAGAAAAATATTGTTAAATGTGATTCAATTGAAAATGCTACCTGAAATATAAATTTTGATTCATAAGTCTAAAAGGTAATTTACTACTCATAGACCCATACAAAGTTGACTAAATAGCGTTAGCATTTTAGTGATAAATTTCACAATTAACATGAAGAATTACTTAATATAAGTACTATGCAAAATTACTATTATTTGCAATGCATACAAAATTAAGTGTAGAACAAGCCTATTTAATTCTAATTTGAGGTTTGAAAAATATATATAAATTTATTGCAGTTATTGTTAATGATATAAAATCGTATTACGTAGTTTTAGTTAATCATTTTGATTTAAATTCATGCCACGTTTATATGCAAAAAAGTTTACTAATATGTTACATCCGCAAAAAATCATCATTTTAAAGTATTGAAGTTTACGCAGATATACACTACATTTATTTTTCCCAGCTGATTTTTATCATAAAAATGATTATTATCTTTGTGAATACCAAATTTAAAGAACCTTATTTGGATATTTGCGAAAAACTAGTTCAAACCATATTCCCTGATTTTAGTATGATATTTAGATTTTCTAAAAAATATATTTTAGTCCATTATTTTAAATAGGACGATATGTATGTCGCGCAGTCGCTTTTCTCGTTGTGAAGGGAGTGGTCATTTTTCAAAGAGAATTGCTCTATATTTCTACGTTTTCTTATTATTTAAGAAAATTTATATTTATGTAAATTAATTAAAAAAAAACATAAATTTCAATATAATTCAATAATAGTGTGCAATTTAAAGTGGTTTCCGAAAATATTATTAACTTCCCGTATGGTAATAAGTAAAGAGCCGAAAATCGTAAAGAAAACTTTTGCATTTTTCGATGTTTTAAAGGTCTCTGAACAATTTGGCATACCTCAGAAAAAATGAATGTGTGTGTGTGTGTTCACGTTTTCGGGCACACGGATCAACCGATTTGAATTATTCAAAAACATTCGATTCCTATTCACAGGGAAATGTGCTGATTAGTTTTGGCAAAGGCAGGTCCCGCCGTTACGGAGATAAAGAGCAAAAAAAGCAGGAAATAGAAATCGTGTTTTGAGAAACGGAGCATCCGATTTGAATGATCAAAAAAACATTCAATTAGTAATGATTGGGAGAAGTGGTTATTAATTTTTGGCAGAGGCAGGCCTAGCCATTTGAAAAATACAGAGCTAAAAATACTAAAAATGGCAGTTTTTGAGAGAAATAAGCGTTCGATTTTTTTTGTACATCAAAAATAATTCAGATTTCAATTTTAATTTTGGCTAAAGTTTTAAAGCTCACTTATATACTTTAAATGAATATTTTTGACTATGTGATTCTGTTCATATAATTCTTATAAATTTTAGACAATGTTATAGTATTTATAGTAATCTATCTTGAAACATTTAATATTCCTCGAACATTAATTATTATTATTATTAACTGTTCCTTTTTATTTTAATTGTAATTTATTTTGGTTAAAAAGCTATTTTTTCAAAAATTATATCGCTTAAATCACCATCTTTGGTCTAGAGTTGGAAGATGATACGATGATACAAAGTGCCCCCTGTAGATTTATCATCTCTATAACGATTATTCAATGGGTAGTTATTACTAGCTATCCATATTTTGTTCTTACATCAGTAAAGTTCATATTCTCGCAAGCGTATTTTTATTTAATTTGTTCCATATACAAAAAGAAAGTAGAGAGATACAAAACAGTAGTTGTGTTTAATATTTATAAAATTTATTCATGTGAAATATTTGGCAATAAAATTTGCATCTACATATATTATGCGCTCGCCCGTAGGTAAGCGGTTAAGAGCGACGGGACCTGAATGAGAGGTTCCGGGTTCGATACCCACTTCGAGCAGCCTATTGTCAGGCAGCAATGACAACGATTTTCACTTGGAAATATAGATAGCAATATGTTTCCAAGTGAAAATAGCCCTTGCCCGGCATTGCTGCACCAATAAAAAGTCAGCCTCATTAGATTATTTCTAATAACAAAAATCATCAAATATGGATGGATTCACCATTGGGTTACCATCTAAAAATACGAAGCAAAGAGAAGTTTCAGCTCAACCACTCATAGGACGAAAGGTTCTGATTGCTGTTAAAAATATATATATAAAAAAAAACATATTATATTATAGAATATCTATAGCAACCCTAAGACATAATAACCAAAAATGTTTCATCATTTGTCTACTTTTACATACGAAACATCAAAAAACTTCACACATAACAAATCAATATTTCATCACTTTCCACTAAATATGAAATTGAATTCGATTTCGCACCCTCATAAATAGTTCTATAAACGTAATATAATTATAAATTTATTAACACTTACTTGGTGAAGACCGGTAGCTGAGAGCCCATAACTTGCAGTCGTGCCAGGAGCAGTACGGCGGTGCTGGCGGTCAGCACCCCCAACCGGCGCGATGCTTCCGTTGACCAAGGCAGCGCGTTCGACACTCGGCTCGGTGAGTTTTTTATGCCGGCGCTCGTTGCGCTGCCCGTGCTGATGCCGAGCAGGGCGCGTGCGAGCCCGGGCAGTTCGTTGACGCGCATCTGGAACAAAACATTGTTTTATTTAAAGATATGGGGTTATAAAAATTATCATGAATATTTAAAAACTTCATAGAATTTAGCAATATTCTTTGGTGTTGGTTGATTAAGTATCGAAAATCACAAAATTTCCTTCTTAAACTGGTCCAAACATATCAAGATGAAAAGAAAACAGAAGTTCAAAGAGTTGTCGCAGGAAATAAAAAAATGTGTTATGAAAACGAATTACTATAATATAAAACCAATAATAATCTCAATTTGGTCATATGAGATTGAATATTGAAATAAGAACGATTCATAAATTAATAAAAGAAAAGTCAAAAATATTATGATAAACCCAAATCAATATTTAAATGAACTAAACCAAGAATTGCCGATATGAATGCTGAAAAGAAAATAGTCATTCGATTTGAAGTGTAAAGTTAAGAAAAAAGGAAGGATCATATTGCAGATAAACTCCTCAAAGACCAACACATAGTTCAGACCATAGGTTCCCAAACTTGTTTCTGCAGTGGACCCCTTGCAATGTTTTTTGTTTTGTTATGGACCCCCTATATTAAAGTGACCGCATGTACCAGTTTCGCCGGAACAGTCGCGGATTTCCATCTAGTGATCCGGGTTTTTATAAAATAAATTTTCGGCGCGGATTGTGCCGCGTTCTCAAAAAGTATAGGTTTAAATCTTTGCAATGCTTGATACTAAAATTACAACTACCCATCAAATATCTGGAAACGATATATTTCACATCATTCAATAAATCCGTAGGACAACTAAGAAAAAACATTTTTTTGTCAATTTTTTTCTATGCAATATTGTTTCTTCGAAGACCATATAAAGATTATAGCGAATTTCAAACTTTTCGAAACCATTTTTAACTTCCCGTAGGGTAAGTTATAGTAATCGCAAAAAAAATCGAAAATGAAATTTTTATATATCTTTACGTTTCAAAGGTTTCTGAACATTTTGGCATACCTTAGAAAAAATGGATGTATGTGTGTGTGTGTGTGTGTATGTGTGTGTGTATGTGTGTGTGTATGTGTGTGTGTATGTATGTACGTGTGTGTATGTATGTGCGGATACAAATTTTCGTCGACGATTTCAGGAACACGGATCAACCGATTTGAATAATTCAAAAACATTCGATTCGTATTGATAAGGAGACGTGCTGATTAGTTTTTGGCGAAGGCAGGTCTAGCCGTCCGAAGATACGGGGCAAAAAGTGCCGAAAACGGTAACTCAGTTTTTAAGAGAACGGATCGCCCGATTTGAATAATTCAAAAACATTTCACTTGTATTGACAAGATGAAGAATCGATGAAATTTTCATGAAGGTAGGTCTAGCGGTTTCGGAGATATGGAGGAAAAGTTAAAAAATGAGCCATTTGGCGGTCAAAAATGATCATTAGACATATGCACATCAAATTATCAGATATTTTATAGAGATTTTAACAATAAGTATACATTTTGTCAACATTCCTATGGGTTCCGTACCAATGCTTATGCGTTAGACAGCGACGCGGCGCTTACGCGCTTTATATTTTGTGCCTATGCAGTTAAAGCAGTACGATTGCTTTGAAAAAAAGTTCAGATCTTCCACAATATGTCAAAATAAATAATTTTTTTTTTTTCAAAAAAAAAAAATTAAAAAAATTTTTTTTTTTTAAAAAAATTTTTTTTTCAAAAAAAAGTTATTTTTTGTCCAATTTATAGTTTCCCAAAAATCTTATTTTTTCAAAGTAATTTTTTTTTCAAAAATGTTAATCGTTTTTAAAAAAATTATAATTTTTGGTACGGGAAGTTCCAGCAATTTGCCTTAAGGCACGATGCCTTAATTGCCTTAAGACAGAATTCCACTTACAGCTAGTTTTAGTACGATTTGTACTTTGCCACAAAATACAGCTATCATAACATCATTTGGTAAAAGTTTCTTTACAGCCGAGCATCCTTTTGAGATCTGAAATCGGTATATGGTCGCTAGGCAAACAGATCAAGAGAATATGATAAAAGGAGAAGCAATTCGGAGCCCAATTCATATTTTTCTTCTTTTTAATTTTTGTGACGAAAATTTAAACTTGGTCATTTAATAGTTTTTAAGATATGCGAGGTTGGTGGGTGGCTGGCTTCGCTCTCAATACTGGTATTGAAACAGACCGTACGTTTTCAAAAATGCATAATTCGATTTTGATGAAACATGACATACATTGTTATTACACTTTACTAAATATTTGACAAAAATTTATAGTTGAATCATTCAATAGTTTTTAAGATATGCGAGGTTGATGACTGGCTCCGCTCTCAATACTGGTATTGAAACAGATTGTACATATTCAAAAATGCATAATTCGATTTTGATGAAACTTGACACATATTGTAACTACACTTTACTAAATATTTGACAAAAATTTAAAGTTGAATCATTAAATAGTTTTTAAGATACGCGAGGTTGATGGGTGGCTGGCTCCGCTCTCAATACTGGTATTGAAACGTTTTCAAAAATGCATAATTCGATTTTGATGAAACTTGACCCACATTGTTACTACACTTTTCTAAATATTTGACCTTTTTGAAAATCACTGGTTTAAACGGATAATGTTTATTCTGATACCAAATCTATTTCTGATACAAAAAATGGAGTACTACCATTTACTTTCATTAGTTGAGTTTGCAATAGATGAAAAATATCTTTGTGTTACCAGATATATATCGATGTGAAAATACCAATAAATAATCAATCTGCACAGTTATTGATCACTTTGTTAAGTCAAGAAAACGACATTTAATGGGCATTTAATAGGTTTATCTGCATTAAGCATTTGTTTTTCATCTTCTGATATAAAGTATGCGTTTCCTTATATAAATACAAAAAAGTTTGCACTCGTTTATCTCATATTCTCTTTGTGATGGAATATCACAAATTCGATAAAAATATTATTACTTTAAATAGTAGTGATCAGAAGCAGTATGTAACGACTTGAGTCATTAATTGGTTAAGATAATATATCAAGTTAAGTGTTTGTAAATTATATAAAAATTTCGACTCTTAGGTTATTTTCGTGAACACATTCATTAATATATTTTATCAGAACTATGAATACTAAAATTCTTGCTTTAAGTATTGGAAGCTGAGTATTAATGAAACTTCGAAAATCAGAACACTTTTTTACACTATGAGTTTACACTATAAATAAATTGAAAAAAAAGTGACAAATCAACATATATTTCTGGTTTTCAATTATTAATAAACTAGTGTATGTGTGATTACCAAATTATAAATTTATATTATAAATTTATAGTAAAATATTATACAACGCAAATAAAGATTTGCATAACTAGAATCTTGAATCTATAGAATTCAAACATTTCAAAATATATCTTTTTATAGTTGCGTACTTTTAAGTAAAAGATTTACAGTCTGCGATATTCAGATGTTTCACTTCTATTCATTACGGAAAAAGTAATTTATAAACCAGAAAACTTTAATAACAACGAGAATAAAATAACATTTCCTATTCTTAAACTTTTCTACCTACACTATTGATTCAGCAATCCAAACTAAAATTGTAGCACTCGATAAAATCTTCTCAAGATCAATAGAAATAGAAATGTGAACTCTTTTGCTCGCACTCAGTACTTCCTATTTCCGAATGAAGATAACTTGAGTATTTTAAATCGCTTTGAAAAACTTCCGTATCTGGCCAACTATTACGTGCGTTACTTTGCTGAAAGCAATGCGAGTCAAAAATACATTTAATTTTGAACAAAGTTTTATCAACTGTCACCGCGTCGGTGAAGTTTTACATCCCAGGATAAAGTTTAGGCGGCGGCGTCTGGTGGAGCGAATATAATTTGTTGATCTCAGGACTTAGATGTTAAAATTAAAATTAATCGCTCTATTTGCACATCATTTTATTAAACGTGAAATTTAATTTAATAAGATATTATTTTGTTTACCAATCCTTCTAAAACTTTTGAAGATTTATATGAGTAAAACATAAAGGATTCTGGAATTCAATCCAGGATTTTCGGAATACGATGCCCGAATGTTTTAGATGACAAATAAAATATTTGGGTGAAATATGTTCTAAAATTTTATACTTTGAAATCCACAGCAACTTTTATTTAATTTTCAATCAGTATATTCTACATACCTTTCAACAAATCAGATTATAAAAATAATTGGCATAAGCTAAAAGTGACATCACAAGATCATTAAAATGTATTGATAACATAGTCCCTTATTATGAGCGTCATTTGCTATTATTTTGCAATTTGTTACTCAAGAAACTTCATAATCAATGGGGAAACCAATTTTAACAGAATTTTAATATATACTATTATACTGAAAATTCAACTATTCAAGTATCGTCATCTGTATGAATGAAAAAATTGTTGATAAAAATCTCTATATATTCTATCGAAACTTTTGGAATTCGTTATGACTACTAACGAATGATAAATAATAACAATAAATGATAATATTGTTAAAAATGAACATTTTTTTGTTGAAAATAATACAAATTCTTTCTCAAACAGTCTTTTAATCATAGCATTATATATCTTCGAATTAAAAATTTTACTTCACTTTTTGAGTAAAAATTATTATTTAGTGAAAAACATAGTGTATATATATATATATATATATATATATATATATATAAATATTAATATCTTCTAAAATATTCCTCAAATGTAAGCCATTCCTCGTGGCAGTTTTCCTACGATTAATCGATCGGAGTAAATATTTGCTCGTATTATAAAATCTGTATTTTTACGAAAACTCCATTAGCCGACTTGTGCAAATATTTATTTTATTGAAACGAAGTTCTGTATATTGGGAATAAGGAATGAATTATTTCGCAGAAGAAATTAATAGATGTAAGAGAAAACTGGGAAAATTTACTTAGTTAGGTAAAGGAAATCCGGTGGATAATGATATAATGTTTAGCAAGTATTTTTTATTACAAAATTATTTTATTATTATTTGAAATGATTTCAATGTTTTAT